ACTTCTGGCGTGGAGGACAGGAAGGCGGGTGGGGAGGCGGTCATTGTTTGGAGGGAGAGTCCCCCTCCCTACACGATGCCACGACCACGTGTCACAGCAGGGAAAATGGCCGCAGGTCAAGTTCATCACCCAATGTGGAGTTCGCGAACAGAAGCAAAATTTTGCGAACGGTGCTGGTGGCGAACCAAATTGTTCGTGAACAGAAGCGCTCGTGAACTGAGGTGCCACTGTACATTTCACAGGCTGAAGATGGTATTAGAATCCAACTTTCATTAGCCCATCACCATAGCAAGTAATCAGGAAATATGGGAATTAAACAGTTTCTGCCTCACTGTCATCAAAGCAACATAATTTTTAGTCAAGAGACCATGGAACAGTAACAGATTTCTATACAGTGTAATTGTCCTGTTATAAGGGGCAAAAAATCTTGCCAGGGCCCAGCATTATCAAAATAAGGCAATATATATGCATCTTATGTATATGATATTTGCAAGTATGTATATGATATTTTAGTCTAAAGCTACACATTGGCTGAGCAGGTCATATAATAAAAAATCAGCAATATAAACTGAATTTCCCTTCATAAGGAAATTGAACTTTATTTCTCAATTTTCAACAAAAACCTTCTGGCAATTTTAAGGGCAATTTTCCTATCCCCAATTCTATGAAAGAATCTAAGTTTGCATGACACTCATCAATATTATTAAATATGCTATTGTTTTAAATTTAGATGGTGCTATACACAGAGACACATGTAATATTAGCCATGTACTGCCAGAGTAACTTACATCTTTTATTAATTACACTGATTCAGAATTACAGTTCCATTATGGACCTTAAATGTAAGTACAGTTTCCCTTGTCTGTTAGCTACTAGACTGTTTTAAAATTAATTCTTCAATCCTAGAAACCTAACCTTTTTAAAATCTTTTTAAACCTACACTTAAGCCACCATAATTGTTTTAGTTCTTAAAATGGCACTTTCTCCAAATGAAAACTTTGAAAGAATGCAGTAACTACTTAAGCTTTGTCATTTGAACAAGTATTTCTCAAGTTTAACCTAATTTAAATAGAGTATTCTGATAACTCAGAGCATTAGAAAGGGAGTGATGTTGACTGGGGGGCTGACGGAGAAGACAGCTACGTTTACAAAAAAATATTTATATGAAATAGCCTTATAGATTTGCAGCTCATCTTACTTTTTGAGTTTGCAATGTAATTCACTCATCTCCATATCCTTAAGTGCAGTCTAAGTGGCTCAAATAGATTTATGCACACTTTATTTGCTTATAATAGATCATATCTCTTGCTACGTCATTTTGAGATAGTGGGGATTTATAGTCCAAGAGACACTTTCAAAGTGAGTTAATGTATAGTGTCAGGTTTTAAGAAGTTAAAAGGCTGACTGGATGCTGCTGAACAAGACTTGCAGTCATTTTGTCTTGTAAATTGGTATTCAGATTACTGATGATACAAGCATGAAACAAATTTGGCTACCAACTTCATAAAGAAAAAAAATACAGAATAAAATCATTTGGTAAAAGGAAAGGGAACACAAATAAACACATGCAGTGGCCAAGCCATCCTCAAAGAACTAGCTTTCCACTAATTCCCTGAATTGAAGCATTTTCAAAGAGCAAGAATATTCCTCTTCCATAGCCTTTGTTTTCAAATGGAAAGACTGATCAAATGAGTTGGAAAAAGCCAGAGGACAATTTTGAATTAAATATTATGGTTCTACCTTGGCTATATTTGACTAATGATTTAAATACAAGTTCTAATTAATAGTTTTTAGAATAAATTAGCAACTTTGTATCTTCACAGGATATAAAAAGGTAAGATAGGACAAATACCTTCAGATGACCTGAGCAAACACTCAAAGACATGTAACTAAAAAAGAGAGATGACCAGCTCAAAAACAATAGGGGAATTATTCAGACTGACTTTTTTGATCTCAGAATTATGAATGGTTAGAAAGCTGAATAATTTCTTCTTATATATTATTTTCATTTTTACTGTAAATTAATGCATTTTACTGGTTTTTCACTATGTTTAGTTTTTCTTGTTATTCATTGTTAATACTTTAAATAATGTTTAATCAAGCAAGAGAATTCTGTTTATACAGCAGGATAAAAATACAAATTTATGTTTTTATTTATTTATATAAACATTTTTACATAAATACCCTTAACCATAATCCCAATTTAGTAGTTCAATGGATATAATGCAAATAATTGTAAGATTGTAGAATGTATAGGCAGGTAAAAATATTAAGAAAAACACTTATAGAATTATCTAAAGTTTATTGTTTGACATCTTGACACAATATTGCCTCAAGGTCACTTCAAAGGAATATTAAAATGGCACACAGGCATTTATAATGAAAAACTCAAATGATTTCGTTTTAAATACAGTAGGTTTCTTGAATTCATCACAGGTAGATTCTCTTGGGCTAGAACAGTTTCGGCCTAGCTGGCTCAGACTGTGAACTAAGCCCAATTTTCAAATCTGCTGCTATTTTTTAAACAAAACAGGCATAGTCAAAATATTAATTTTATTATTACTATCACCATAAGCATTCTATTTACCAAAGACCGTCTCCAGTTTGGAGAAGGAACATTTCCTTGGGCAACCTTAATTTTGACCTTCGAAGTAGTGCTGCTCTATTCTTCTGCAAAACGCAATGAGGTTGCTGTAGCCTTTCACTTTTTCTGACAGTTCATCACTGATCAACTGGGTAGTAAGGATTGTGAACAGATGTCCAAATACCAAAGCATCTAATTCAGTTGGCCTATGAATAAAAGAGAAATAGGATGTTGAAAGAGAGAATATAACCATGGCAAGTCACGCTAAGCATGAGGGCCAGTTGTACAATATATCCAGATCACTGCATAACATCTTGACCCTGCCATTTTAAGGAGAAAATGCTGTCAGCTGCCTTTATTCCACTTCTTCTCCTTAAGATGGTGACAGAGGGTTGCCAGTTTAAGGCTTGAAAACTACAGCAGTGATAAAGAAGCGTGAAAATTTTCACTGAGTTGGACTCATGTCTCCCCTAATGATGAAGGAATTTGGGGGGGGGGGAGATGTTAATGCAGGCAGAGAGGACTAGATTTGGCACCTAAGCGGCCAATCGCTACACAACACCAATGATCTTGAAGCTTTTGTTTTCTGAGTTCTGTCCTTTTAATCTGAAGATCAAGAGGTGGACTGCATTCAAGCTCAGTGAATGGAAAGTGTCCACCCCCACCGCCAAACAAGGTATTCTGAGAGAATGGAATTGGGATGAATTCAAATTATCAAAGGAATTAAATACAATTTTCAAAACATTCTGTTATGTAGGGATAGATGATATTATCAAAGAATTACTCAGAATGGGAAATATCATATCGCGGTGGTAGCATTTCTTTAACCCCAGCTCACATCTTAGATTTTAAAGTGTGTTATGGATTGAGACAAATAAAAATTCAAATCTTGAAAAGTTGTTTGGAAACTCATTTCACTGAAATTCTTCACATAGTGCTTTCTCACTTGATCCCATTAACCTTCCAGGATGTCCTCGGTGCCTCCTTCTGTGGCTCTCTCAAGTTGCCCAGAATTAATCTGGCCATTCTTTCACTGGTAAATTAAGACATACAGTAAGGAGCTGTTCCCTGCTTCTTAGCTCCTCAACCAATAGGCAGTTACTATGATGTCCTTTTTACCAAAAAGTGAAGAAAGGAAGAGTTTTATCTTTTATCCATAAAAAAGAGATACAGCAGGAGAAACCTCTCCCCATCATTTGGGGAAAGTTTTCTTCTTCTTGGCAGAACTTTAATTTAGATAAGTAACTTACTTCTTATTGAAGAAATACGGTTGTGTTCCAAGCCTTTGAGAAAGGGCTTGACAACACTGATCTACATCTTCAAGCACCTAAAAAGAATACAGATATCACAGAAGAGCAGAAAGTATTTTTAATGAAATGCTAGAGAAGCAAAATCCTCAGTTAAAAATACATTGCACACATGAGATTCAAAAGATGCTTAACAACATTTGTCCTACAAAGTTCTCCCCCTTCCTGTGTGATTTTCTTTTAAATTCTTTACCCTTTAAAGAATGCAAAAACAATGTATTTGCCTGTTAAAAAACAAACAGGAACAGCCAATACAATTAGCATGTTTCCATACCAAGTATATAGATTCAATAGAAGTGAATATGTGTAGCTCAGGGTTGAACTGTGGAGTCCTTGGAGTTCTCTGAGCTTGGCTGTTTTCTTGCAAACATTTTGTTACCCAGCTAGGTAACATCTTCAGTGCTAGAATGGGATGGGGGTTGCTCTCTGTTTGTATACTGTGGCATACCCTGCCAGTGCTGGTGGGGGTAGGGGTTTTGTTTTGTTCCTCTGGTAGTTCCTTGATTAGGGTATTGTTTACTGCTTGATTGTG